CGGCGTGTCCTGCTGGTGCTCGCCCACCGCCGTGGGGAGGAGGGAACCGCTCACCCAGCCCGTGCGGCCTTTACAGCGCATGGGCTGGCCTGGCCAGGCGGTCATCAGCCCTCACACTGAAGGGTCACAGGTCCGATTCCCGGTCAAGGGCACATGCCTGGATTGCAGGGGCAGTGCCCAGCCCCGTTCTGGGCATGTGCAGGAGGCAGCCAATTGATGTCTCCCTCACATCGCTGTTTCCTCCCTCTCTTCCCGCTCGCTCTAAAACTCAATGAGAAAAGACCCTCGGGTGAGGATTGCCAAAAGCACCCCAACATTTGGCTGGAAACGGCCAGGGCGTTGGCCGAGCCCCCGGGCGTGGGAGAACTCTTCCCGTTAGAACAGAGGTTAGACCCGGGCCCAGTTGGGGACGGGGGAGCCGTGGCCTGAGCCTCGAAGCTCGGATGGCAATGAGTGGACCAGAGCTAAAGGGACCGCTCAGCGCGCTGTGCCGGGGGACGGTCACAGGGCCCCGCTGCCCCACCGGTAGGGACACGGCTCTGACCGACTCGCCCCCAGGAGGAACCTGTCCCTGGTGAAGGAGCTGGGCGACCGGGCGGCCCAGGGCAGGGCCTACGGCAACCTGGGCAACACCCACTACCTGCTGGGGAGCTTCGTGGAGGCCACGACCTTCCACAAGGAGGTGAGTGGCAGATGGCGGGGTGGGCAGCTGTGGGCGGCCTGACACCCACCCCAGGCTGTGTCCGGGCTTGGTGCTGGCTCCCGGGGCTCCCCCTCTGGACATAGACAGGGGCGGGCAGGAGGCGGCAGTGCTGTCGGTTCGGTCCCGGCTGCTCTGTGACCCCCGGCTGCGGTCGTCCTCAGCGCCTGGCCATCGCGAAGGAATTTGGAGACAAGGCCGCCGAGCGGAGGGCCTACAGCAACCTGGGGAATGCCCACATCTTCCTGGGGCGCTTCGACGTGGCGGCCGAGTACTACAAGTAGGCACCTCGCAGCCGGGAGGGGGGCCAGGTGGGGTCCCCGGCCACCCCAGGAGGGCTGACTGACAGCCGTGGGCCAGGCCTATGGGGCTTGGTGAGCGCCTCGTGCCCTGGCTGAGGGCCTCCCGGTGCCAGTTACTGGGGCGACCAGCCGTTCCCATATGGACTCGGGACGGTCAGGACCGTTGGCTCCTGGGGGACCCTGATTAGGGCCAGGACACTCGTTGGGCCATTGGCCTCCTGGTCTGAGTGGCTGTGCGGGGCCACTGGGCAGAGGCCGGACCACATGCACTGGGTTCTGGGTTGAGCCTGACGCCCCACGTCAGAACGCTGACCACGTGCTGTGTCCCCGGGCCCCCCGTGAGGCGACTGGCCGGTGTGGGCAGAGCCTGGTGGGGTGCCACGTCCCGACTGAGGGGGGCAGCGTGGTGGACGCAGTGGAAGGCGCAGTG